AATTGTTGTGCCCTCTCAAGTATTGCAATACGATTCCTTGAACTAACGTTGTGGGCAATTTCAGCAGCATATGTTTTGTTGTGCATTAGTAGCAATTCCAATTCTCGAACGTTAGAAACAAGAAACTTCTTGAATCCGTTAGGCATCAAATGGCGAGTTTTCTTATTCGAACCGTAACCAATCTTAGGCATTGGGAGTTGTCCCTTGAATCGACGTCGGACTCGATTGTCAATACCCTTCGGTTTTCTCCATGCTTCCTTTAAAACGAGAAAGAAATTGGTATTAACTCATAGTCTACAACAAAGAAATCGTAATAAAAAACTTACCTTCACAGATTTATAACGATCCGACTGATGCCTTTTGAAAGGCTTATTTCGCTTCTTAACAATCTTGACCTTCGAAACAGGATTGACCATTTTTACTGAAAATCACCAAACCATTTCGGTTAGTCAAAATCTAACGTTGAATAATATCTTTGCATTGAGGTGTTTCTCGCAAAGGAAATGAACTAATAATTCAAATTCGATTAAAAGCTAGATCTTGCCACAAAGAGGCCTATGCAAATTGTATTTCGCTAAGGAACGAGTTTAAACATTTCTTTTTTTCTCAGACTTCGCCAAATAACCATAAGTTTCTTGCACAAGATAGCTCACCTAGAAAAAACGGACGGGATAGAAAGGAAGTGCAAGAAATAATTTGCGATGAATTTTATTTTCAATCTCTAAAAATCGAAAGCCAATCAGATTACAAAAAAAATTCTAAATGTCACATGGAATATCCTGCATAACCTATAAAACTGTCTAAAATACTTTTCATCTCAATAGCTTATCAAAATCGATGTATTCTCCCAAAAGACAAGGAGACCGAATTAGTTCTATTTCTCCAAGAAGAAACCGGGGTCAAAGGGTCTCCTCTCATAGTTCTGCACATAAAGAACGAAAAAGTTTGCGTAGATCGCGATCACCATCACGACGAAGTAAGCGTTTAGAAAACTCACGTTCTCCTCGGCTAGCGCGTTCGAGATCTCGCTCCCCTTACGGAAGGCGTTCAAAATCACCACAGAGATCTCAGGCATATTCACCTGCACACTCTTCTAGAAGACGTTCATGGTCTCCAAAAGGAGTTCGACTACGTTCACCACCAAGGCGTCGTTCAAGATCTCCAGCACAGTCGCCCAGAAGGCGTTCAAGATCTCCAGCACAGTCGCCCAGAAGGCGTTCGAGATCTCCACGGAATGCCGTCGACCGTTCTCTTTCCTTATCGCTTTCATCCCCTAAAGTGCTTTCGAGGTCACATTCCCCGTCGGTTCACGGCCGCCAGGACAAAGAACGTGACGGCGAGAAATCGAGGCGCCGATTAACCTCTCGTGATTCTTCGCCTTCAAAGGCTAACAACGAGAAAGCTCAGGAAATAGTGAAGCCTAACTTTGGATTATCTGGAAAACTTGCTGCTGAATCAAATAAGTTCAATGGTGTAGCATTAAAATATCAAGAGCCGCCTGAAGCGAGAAAGCCGACAAAAAGATGGAGATTATATGTATTTAAAAAGGAAGAACAATTGGGTATGTTTGAGTTGTTAATTAAATCTCTAAAATTGCATTATTTGTTTAAATAATTTAGTTCCCTACTAAAAAATCAGCGAATTCGAAATCCAACGGCGTTCCGTCTATATCTTACCCTTTAATAGATTGTCTTCACATTCACCGACAAAGTGCTTATTTATTGGGTCGTGACAGAAACGTTAGTATAGATTTTTGTACACTTCTGGTTTAAGACACTTCGTTGTCTTGCTAACATCAATTATATTAATTTAAATTAGGTTGCGGACATTCCGATCGATCATCCTTCATGTTCAAGTCAACATGCCGTCTTGCAATTTCGACAAGT